GAGCGCGTGGCGAGATGTGCGCATAGCAATATCGATCGCCGGGCGGTCACATCTTGCCACGCGCTCGAATTGGGCGGGTAGACCGGCCTAAGACAATGATTTTTAATAATTAATTACTCGTTAACTATTACGAAAATTGCAAAATGGTACAGGACTTTTCCGTTCATCTCGATCCGTTTTACCTTCTCAAAAATTTTGTCGGATATGGAAAGACTCACCCTGTATAACCGAATGGTACTCTTTTTATTCTATTTGAACATTTATGCGTAGATGTAGAAATTTACATCTCATTTTTATTCATAAAGGCACAATAGTTAAATATCGTAAGTTGTTCGGCCCAAAAATAGTTCTACACTAAAACCAAGTATCGACTAGTTATAAAGATTAGATAAAGAAAAGTTATAAAGATAAATAAACTACTGCGCAATCTCTGCTGACTACTTTTATTAACTGTTACCTAATGCTTTAATGATACTTTTTATATTCTGCTATTTGAACTTTCGACTCTAACTTAACCGGGGAAACATAACTCAAACAATTTCTATGGCAGTTTATGTAATGTATATCTTTACATTTGCAAGCGTGTGTGTGGTGTAATGTAATATTACAAGAACGAGAAAATTAAAAACATTTCAATTATCTGAAGATATTTGTGCAGAAATAAATTGAAATAATCCTGCAAATAATAAATTTTGACCGGTTACTTCATTAAAATGATATAATATTATATAATTATATTCATAAAAATATATAATGTATAATATATTTACATTACATAATATAATTTTATGAAAATTTTTTCAACACACGATACGCACACATCGCACGTGTATTCCAGTCAATAAACAAGAATTTCGCGATGTCGCATATGTCATGGATCGGATATGAAGACAAAATTGTTGTTAGGGAATTATTTGTTAATTAGATAGCAAGGCAGGGTACACGCGTAATAGGTATACGTTAGATGCTGTCTTATGTAAGCATCATTAATCATGATAATATATGTATATTGCTATATTATTCCTGTCTGTTACGTTTCGACATCCTGCAAAATACTCTATTAAAATTTTCTGTTCTTGAAGTGTTAGTTTAGTTTAAAGAAGACTATCGAAACACCAAGAGCTCAAATACAATATTACGATAACGATACAATAATGTAATGATACAATAACGAATTTAACATATATAAATTTTCTATCAGTCACTATTGAAGATTATTTACCATTATTTATGTATAACACTTTCAAATCGCGTTTCCGTTCTTCCCAATGTAGTGAAACGATACCTGCTATATCCTCTATTCTTTTTCTTAATACGCGATCAAGAATTCAACGATCTAACAATAAGAATAAGTATTAGCATTAGACGTAAGTATTAGACGTAACGTCACGTTGGCGGTCATTAAAGGTAACTTTGTTTCATTGCCCCGGAACTAATAAACGCGTAATTGAATTCGACCGAGCGATATTTCAACGCGCCTGGCGCGTGCAACCACGGCCTTTGTTACCGATTTGCGCGAGCGAGTTGTCGTTCTCCTTGAGCCAGTGCCTCATTTCTGCGATGGCACTCTCTCTAGTCTCGTCGGTCTCGTTCAAATGTGCCGCTGCATATCTCTTATCCTCACTGGTCAGATCTTGCCGAGCGTTATCGCAGTCGCTGTAACCGTTCGCCATCGCGACGATGATGGTGAACAACTGGTGGAACTGGAAGGTGAGGCCTCGTCTGCCGCGGAGAGACACTCGCGTACACAAATCACAAATACACACTGAAACGTGCGATTAACAATAAACACGGCAAACTGATAATGCGATACGCAGGCCTGCTCTTTGGAATCTACGTGCTCTTTGGAATTATTTTCGCGATTAGTCAATTTCGACGATCAGATAGATGCGCCATCTGCAACGCACAGTGACGAATCCGCTTTGATAAACTTGACAGATACCAGAGTGCTTGACGGCCAGCCTCGAGAGGATGACTCGCGAAGAGACTCTGTACTGTTTCTTTAATTGTTAAATTCTTTTCACTGTACACTTTACACGCATTTGACTCTCTTGCAGAATGCGTACAAAATAATTATATTAAAGGAGTGCAGCTACGTTGTTACTAATAATTTATTTGTGTAAATTTAATAAATTATAATGTCGAGTGTTTGTAGTTAAAGAGGTAAAGCACTGTTAGAAAAAGTGTGTTTCAAATTGCAAAACGAATAGAGCGAATATCCCTTCATACACATTTACGTAATTTAAGAATGTAGAGAATTCTTATGTTATTTCATAATCCGTTCTCGTGCACGGTACTATCAAGCGTCTTCTGCGCGGTGGAAGGAAAAAGGAAGCAATGAATTTTTTTTCCTGATCGCACATACTGTCAACGGACAAAATAAAGCGATCTACATGTAGCAAAATAGAATTAAATATATAAGAGCAAACTTTCTTTAACGTTGCCAAGTCTTGAAGAGATGGATCCTAAAAGACCCCTGATAAAGCACGCAATGTTCAAATGTGTAATAAATATAAAGAGAGATAATTTGCTAAAGTTTTACACTACACAGTGTTTTTTACATAAAATATGTATCAAATATCTTTTACAATATATTGTACACATGTGTATATAATCAACGCATAACAATTATAGATATAAAACAACTAAAATGAATAACAAACGTATATACAATTGATAGCAGTTTGGTGACACCAGTTAAAAGAGAAGAATTAAAATGATTGTGGAAACGACCTTACTGGCAATTCTTTATTATAAATTACGACACTGTATAAATCTTATTGTGTAAGAACTTATCCAAAAACACATCAACTCATTTGTTCTCCAGACAATTGCGGACACTCTTGTAAGATTGTTACCTGAAGAGGACCAGTATTGCTGACCGAAACGTCGTGATTTATAATAAAGAATTGCCAGTGAGGTCGTTTCCACAACCATTTAAAAACGTATACCACATACATCCAAAAATATATGAGAGAATCAAGTGAACTAACTACAAGATAAAAAGAATACATTTCTTTATCTTTATGGAATTTATAAACACTAACTATTCACTATACAGGGTGAGTTTTATCTCATGAACCAGTCTTTTAACCATTAGATATGGATTACCGAACGAAACTGTAGCTAAACTGGGAAAAAATGGAAAAATCTAGTTGTATATGTTTCAATCGTGTAATATGTAATTATATTTTGAGAGATATAATTAGATATCACCTGATTGAAACACATATAACGACATTTTTGCCATTTTTTCCAGAGTTGACTACAGTTTTGGTCGGCAATCCATCTCACATGGTAAGAGACTGGTTCACGAAATAAAACTCGCCCTGTATATATTTTTCTGAGAGTTTTACAACTCACCGGTTTCGTATCATATCCCCGATACAGTAGGGCCTCAGCAGAATGACTGTCTTGTAACTGTCTTAAGTCGTAAGACAGTTATCGTGCGTTACTTTAAGACGAAGATTTAAAACATAAAGCATTGTCTTAGAGCATCTTAAGAGTACAAGACAGCCATTCTGCTCAGGTCCTTACGTTTAAAGTGCAAAACAGATAAAGTGTATCTTGTATAACGATAAAAAGTTTATCTAAACGTATGCTGAAAGCAGGCACTTTCTATTAATTTCAGCTCTACTGTTACAAAACAGCGTTGGTCTCGTTCTCTTCTTTTAGAATCCACTCACGATTCTCTTCAACCAGCTTCTTCCAGTATTCTGTAAAAATTAATATTTTGTTACATATATGGAATAAAATAATGATATCACACATAATTTAGACACGCGTTTAATGTATGTTAGAATCAGATAATCTCTTAACAAACTTGTAGTTAAATGACTTCTTATAATTACAGTAATCTTCAAGTAATCTAGATGTAAGAAGTTCATTTACTCTTCGGGAAAATATTTGTTTAATAAGAATCATTCGTTCATCAAACGGGTTGTTTATTGCATTTCATTTTGCCAAAATTACCTGTTAATTCCTGGATTGTACCATCAGTGCCGCCATATTCGACGGGCAGGATTTCAGGGGGAGTATCCTTGAAACAATCAAGTGCACTTGAGTAGACGTGAACTCTCTTCTTCATCTTCTCGGACATGAATGATTTCGAAATTGTCACAATAGTATCGAAGAGTATCGAAGCGTTAAACACGTTAAGCGTCTGGTATCTCATAGGATAACAGCTTTGCCACATGTGAATCACATTCATTATGAAATGAGGTCGCAATTGTAAAATCTGTTGTATAGTTGGACTGACCACGTCTAGGTAAACTGTACAACCGTACACCGATGTTGCGGTGTAATACCTCGTTGCCACTTCCACCACCACAAGAGCTATCTAAATAAAAAATAGACCGTCGAGAAACAATGATCTTGAATTGAAAAATATGCCGGCGTGACACTGACCACATTAATATATATTTTTCGAGCGTTATACTTTAATCTTCACCTTAGTGATGTCCAATAACTTATGTCTTGACGGATCATGTTGCGTGCAGCGCACAATAATAACTAATCTCCCTTGACTGTCTGGCTTCCGTAAACACAAAATTAGCCTAAACATGAATAAAGTATTTCAGATTTCTTTGAAACAAATCAAAATACCATCTAGTTTTACGATGAAGCATGTAATGTTTTTAAATTAAATAAAAAATGTATGTAATATAAGAGAAATGTAAAGGAAGACTGTCAAAAATGTGCCTCTAATTTTACATAAATTGATATTGAAATGAAAGTTTCGATTTTGATGGGTTTTACTGTGTTTAAAATAGATAAAGTAGAGTAGATGATAAAAAAACAACTCACAAAATTCGGCTAGTACTCCAAAATAATTATTTTTACCCCATATCCAGCAGTTCCTGCATTTCTGGACGAAACGGGTCTTTATTCAGGAACCATTCCGACAAGCGGATTCGCTGCTTATAATAGTTACGCATCCTGATCTTAGCTTTCTCAAGATCGAACTTGCAGACCCTCAAAAATCGCAGGACAAGGAAGTCATCTGTGTGCAAATTAAGAATTCCTTTCAAATAAAAAGTTACTTAAAATAGTGTTAATCTATCGTTAAGAATTATAAATGCATACGCAAAGCTTATTTTTACGTTGCCCGGGAAAAAATGGAACTATCTCATTATACGTGATAAATCTCTTATCTCATTATATGTGTCTCAATCATGTAATATCTTAATTAGATATACCCAGTTCTAAAATCGTCAGATCTTCAGAGACCTGACACTTTTATCGAATGTTCAATGTTATTATCCATTGAGATCTAAATCTATAACATAATTGGATTTTAATTTATTATCGAGGAACGCGACAACTCACACGCAAATCGACAAAAATTACTGTGGTACCTGCACAAGCCAGGCGTGTTAAAATTTCACTCGGCGAAGTTCAACGGAATACGTGTTTATTAATTCCGGCGCAATGAAACGAAATTACCTTTAATGGACGCCAACAGACGTTACGTCTGACACTTGGCTCGTTGAATTCTTGATCACGTATTAAGACAAAGAAAAAGCGATATACATTTATGCACTTTGATACAATAAATTTTTACTACCCGGGAAAAAATCTCATTATATATGTCTCAATCACGTAATATCTAATTATATCTCATGAGATTTAATTCTAAAAATCATCAGATCCTCAGAGATTTGACACTTTTCTTGAATGTTCGACGTTATCTATTCAAGGAAAGTGTCAAATCTCTGAGGACCTGATGATTTTTAGAATTGGATCTCATGAGATATAATTAGATATTACGTGATTGAGACATATATAATGAGATTTTTTCCCGGGTAGTAAAAATTTATTGTATCAAAGTGCATAAATGTTTATCGCTTTTTTTGTCTTAATACGTGATCAAGAATTCAACGAGCCAAGTGTCAGACGTAACGTCTGTTGACGTCCATTAAAGGTAATTTCGTTTCATTGCGCCGGAATTAATAAACACGTATTCCATTGAACCTCACCGAGTGAAATTTTAACGCGCCCGGCATGTGCAGATACCACAGTAATTCTTACCAATTTTCGTGGACGCGTTGTCGCATTCCTCGATCCAGCGCCTGATCTCCGTGATAGCAGGCTCTCTAGTCTCGTCGGTCTCGTTCAAATTTGCCGCTGCATATCTCTCATCCTCACTGGTCAGATCTTGCTGGGCGAGACGTTCCACTTCCACGCTGTCACTGGAACTGCTCGCCATCGCGGCGATAGTAAATACGGCTGCACACGAAGCCTCGTCCACTGCGGAGAAACTCGCGTGTGCAAGTCGCAGAGACACTTGTGAGACACAATCAACAATAAATGCAATAGGCAGACAATACTAGAGTCTACCTGTAATACTAGAGTCTCGCTAATGACTGGAGAGACAGTGTGACGCACATGCGTGCTCTTTGAAATCTATGAGGATCTATGATATCATTTTCATGATTACTCAGCATCATTGAGTAGATATACGCGCCATCTGGAGCAGATAATGATGGATTCAGCTTGGTGAATTTAATAAATACATCGTAACGATTCTCCAAAGGATAATCCGCCAAGTTTTCTCGTTTCTCTTTAATTTTTACATTCTTTTACTATACGCTTTACGTGTCTAATGTTTGTAGATAAAGAAGCAAAACAATCTAAGAAGAAGATTCAAGCTGTAAAGCGAGTGGAGTAAATTTCCTTCCTTATTCATTATATAATTTAAGAATACAGGGAATTTTTATTGAAAGATTAACTTTATACATTCGCTCTTGTACTCTCAAGTGTTCTCCACGCAAAGGAAAAGAAAAACAATTAATTTTCTTCAAAATACACGCATCGCTATCTAATAAAGAGCAAATCAAAGCGCGCAATCTATATGTAGTACAAAAAATTAAATATATACCATAAAGCAAACGTCTTCTAACGTTGCTGCATATTATTTATCGGATATAAAATTTAATTGGATATAAATTTTCATCGCTTTATCAAAAACAGGTAATATTACAATGCGTGCGAACAAATATATTAGTTAAAATTGTAAGATTAAACGGACTTGTGAAAGTGACGTTCGGTCTTAATTATGCCTTGTCTAGTCCGGATGGACCTTCATATCCTAGTAGCACAGTGCTTTGACTAAAGATTGGTTAAACATTGGTCCAATGTTTAATTTATTGGGCCAATGTTTAGCCCACTGTACTACTAGGGTAGTTTTTTTATCCGGACGAGACATATGGCATAATTGTAAGATTAAACGAACTTGTACAGTGAAGTTCGATCTTAATTATGCCTTGTCTCTTCCGAGTGAACCTTCATATTTAGTTATCCATCCGGACGAGACATGTGGCATAATTATATGTTTCTCAAGATATTATTAGTCCATATCCTTCATCTAAAATGACGGTAAGATATAATGACAGCAGGCAATTAATTGCTTTAAGAAATGATATTTGCAACACAAATTTTGCCCCTGCTCTCGACGAAGCTTGCTCGATCGCAGTAATTTCCTGTTCCTGCGCAAAAATTGCGTAGCTCTTCTACAATACTTCTTTACTTTGCAGTGCAGCATCAAGTATCTCTTAATCATTACATCGTAAATCTTGTCGGTCAGCAAATTGATCATCCTCATTAAAACGACACGTGTCTTCCTCTCACTTTGCCAATCGTAAAATTCAATTACTTCGTAGTCATCTATGTCGTACACGTCGGCGAAATTCATTTTGAGCTCGACGGCCTCTTCAATCACGTTATCAATAGCAATAAAAATATCTTCGCGAATACTATTATCTACTATTCTTCTAAGAAGTAGATTACGCATACGTAACATCCTTTTATACTGAAATTGTACCTGTGCATCAGATAAAACAACGCGCTCTTAATCGCCAAGAATTTATTGCTCGAGAAAGGAAAGGAAATGTACTGTGTACTACAAAAAATACTGCAACATTGTAATTTTTAAGGCGAATTATTTGTACAATGGTTTTTGGCTTCCACGAAGAGAAAGATTACAGCTGTAATATTTCTCTAATTAGAAAATAATTGTAATTCTTGACTCACCCTTCCGAGAATGTTCAAATTCTTTTGCAAAATCACATTCTTTGCGCCATTTGGCATGACCCAATTGTTCAAATTATTTACCATGACTAGATACATTATGCCTTCACGTAGAAAACGGTCGAAGTTTATTTTCCTGGGTAACTAAAACGAAATGCACAAGTGGTAAAAGTAATTGAATATGCCACATGCTACTGTTTATTGTATTAGCACTTGCAACGGTACTCACACGAAGATTTTTCTTCTTCTCGACTCTATAATCCTGAGATTGTTCCATCTCTAGGAGTATCAATATGCTTGAATAAAATTAATGACACGTATCGTAAATCTCGGAAATTATTTCTGGCAGTACTTACGCTAGTTTAGTAATCACACAATAATTTATGATCTAGATAGAATATGCCGAAAGCCTTTCTCAAAAATACTCAAATTCATAAATATCTTGTATTTTGTAAAATGTCTTCAATTTCATCAGTTTGTGTATAAAATTTTGTTACAAATTATATTAAGATATCGTCTAAATAAATTTGCGCAAATTATATCTAAATAAATTTATTTATTGCAAATAAGCAAGTTTTAATATTAAATGGTAACACAAACCTCCTCAAATTGGCATAAATTTCGCGCGATCGTTCAACCTCAATCGCCGAGTACAGCCGTGTGCATAAAACCTGAACCATGCCTGTTTCTGAAGCTGAAGAAACGCGAAACGACCACTGTCCATCCAAATATATACAAGTGCAAAAATGTACAACAGACTTTTCAAAGAGACCAGAGTCAAAACGACCGTAAGGAAGCGAAAGGAAGTTAATAATCTTCTCGTGTGTTGTTTAATACACTATATTTACCTACATTTAAACATCACCGCTTGGTGTTTAGCTATCTGAGGGTCACAGTAAGGGCTATTCGTTAAGAAAGGCTCTTTATTTCTTTCTCAAATGTCTGTGTTTGTACGAAACGCATGATTTCGTCGAGATACTCGAGTACATATGTCATTTAGTCTCTCTGCAATATTCTGCAATAATTCAGTACATAATAATTATTAATGATTAATAATACGAATAAATAAATAAATAATTTTATTTAACCGCCCAGCTTATCCGTATTAAACTATATAAAAAGCAACGTAAGGGTGAAGAGAATATTAATAAGACGCACAGACATGATATGAGAATTGCAAATTAAATCGATAAAATTAATATTCCGTTATGACATAGTTAAATCAACGGCGATGAGGTCAAAGCAGCATCTGATTGCGACAACATAGTTATCACATTGTTATAAGCTTCTTTCAACTTATCCGCTTCAGTTTCTTTCGCGAGCAATCTGGAAAGATTAGAAAAAATCGAAACCTTTGTTATAAAGTTTTAACCGCGTTCACGATGATTAAGTTAATTTGTTTAATCTTTGCTAATTACAACAAACGCGCGAAAGAATCGAATATCACAAATTCACGGGACAATTGCGAAAAAAATACAAGTCTTAATAAGATCTTAATTTTTAGTAATTTGTAAAACTAATTCAGACGTGGAAGATAAATTAAAGATCCGATCACACACGGAGTATCAAGAGGACGAACTTGTCGTATAATTGTTTCACGACGTTCACCAATATTCGCGCCTGGGTAACATTGAAGAGTGTCGATTCCGAAATGAAACCCTGCAAAAAGTTCATGACGTCTCGACTGATCTGCTCGAGTCTGGATTTCGAGATATTCGCCAGTGCCTCCTGATGTAAAAACATATCGTTCAGCTCCAGCTCCTTCTTCAGTGCGTTAACTTGCTCTCGTAGCTGCTGCACGATTAGTTCTGTCCGAGGCTGGATGTGCCGAATCGTCCTGATCGGTTTCAATTTTGCGATTTTAGCGGTCAGTCGCATGGTCGACAAAGTAACGTCGAGATCTTCCCTTGCAATGCGCACGTGAGATACAAAACTAACGAAGAAAATACCAAAATTGTTATTATTCAAGCGAAGTGTCATACAAATATGTGATTTTAGATTAAATTGGAAATTTAATCGGTAAATTTGAATTGTACATTAGAAACTTTATATCTGTATGAAATATAGAATCATATTTTTGTCTCGATATCTGTGGAAAAAAGATAAATGTAGTCAAGACTACAGTAACCAAATATGCGCTATTTCAATTTTGGATTAATATTCATTATAAGATTACCGAATTACGGATGTAACAGTCAGAGCGTCTCTCAGCAGTTTCAGCAAATTACTCGAGCGAACAACGCTAGGTGTGTACATGCTTGGTTTTCTAAGACATAGGAAATATTGTTCCAGCTGTATTTTCATTAAATTCGCCATACCCAAGTCGGCTGCTGTTTTCGAGCAGCTCGATTTTCCCACCGTACCAGTTCCAGCCATCTCAACGATGTGTATCTAACATCGAATCGATGAAAACAAGCTCGTTAATTTTCTCTCGAAATATCTCTCAATCGAGACAATTTCTTTAACAATGTAGTCGCGCATATTAAATTTTTATAAATATTTCATCCCAAATTTAAATATATTTGAACACTGTGTTTGATTTGTACATGTATATCAAATAATAGTTCTATCTTTAAATTTGCTATATCCATCTCAAATATTTAAATATAACATTTCAAATATAACATTTAATTTAAAAAAGTACAAAAAGTTCTTCCTAGTGATCTAAAATGCGAGAATATTTGAGAACTTTCAAGATTTATTTACAAAGATGCCGAATTCAAATCAAATTAAAAAACTCAATGATTACTTGACCGTGTCTGGCAAATTTTTATGTTTAAGCTCACAACGTTTCGACCATGGTCTGTGGTCCTTTTCGAGTGATAATTGTATCAAAGGATCTTTTCCTTCAATTTACCACACTGAACCTGATACAATTATCACTTGAAAAGGAACACGAACGGTCGAAACGTTGTGAGCTTAAACGTTAAAATTTGACAGACATGGTCAAGTAATCATTGAAATTTTTTAATTACTACTGGCGACATTGAAGATGACCTCTCGTTATTCAAATCAAATTACTTTTGCTGTCGCTACGGTAGCTCGCGATTTTATCAGGCTCGCGTTTGAAACGTGGATAGTGATTACAGCAGCTCCCAAATGTGATACCGGATACACTACACCTTTCATAATCGATCTCCTGGCTTCTCCTTCGAGTATTTTTTTCAAAATCTCCTCCTCACTCTCTACATTCACTGTAGTTATATTCTGCAATCGTAATTATATCAATTTTGACATGCAGAGCAAAAAAGATGCTCTAGATAAAGAATTATAAGAATTTCCGGAAACATTGTAAAAGTAGCTATTTTTTAATACAATTTTCTTACTCCTTTGAGACGTAAAATTAGATGTTACCCAAAGATTTAAGAAGCTTTCGAAAATTTCTGCGCAAAAAACAAATTGCAGAATTTCCATACCACGTACTTTAAAGACACTACGCTCGTTGACGTTAACGGTTCTCCGTTTTTGCGTGAGGAGATCGATTACATTTTTACCACTCAGCTCGATGAAGCTTAGACGATAGCGTATATCACTGATTTTTCTTCGATTCGCCTTCTCCGTAAACATATCGGATAAGAGTCGCGGGACTATCCCTCTATGCTAAGTCAACGAGTGAAGCAATCAAATAATAAATAATTGATTAAACTGTTAAGTGCGAATAAGATGATGCGAGATATGGAAGCGTACTTCCCAATTATTTTTGTAGCCGCCGATCGTGAAACTCTTTCCGGATCCGGTTTGCCCGTAGCCGATCAGTACGCAATTTACGCCATCTAAAACTCTTTAAATTGTTTCCTTGTTGTATATGTCTTGTTCTTTTTATGTCGCATAATGTTCCATATCATATCAGCGATAGCAGTCAAGTATCGCTAATTACCCATTGTTATCGACAATATAATTATACACTTTTTAGCAAGACACAGAATCGTGCAAATCATTAACTTAAAATGTTTCGATTACGATGAAAAGATATTTTTAAATCTCCTTCGTTATTTTCAATGCTGAACTTAATAAACTCTTATTATTCTATCCTCTGCACATATTATCAATATAACAATATAATAAAATTAATATTTCGCCACATATGACGGACGCTTAATTAAATTATTAATTTAGAAAAAGACCCTCAATACCGTTTTCAACTTAGTAAACAGCATTTCAAGTTAATTAATTATACCGTAGAGTGGAATATTGCCATCACTGTTTTTAAATATCAATCAGTACTTTTTTACGAGGTCTTTCGCAGTAGTGCAATACACTTTATCCTGGGACGTCTCGTGAAATATCCCGTCAACGTGGAAGGCCCAATAAACGGGACACGTTGACTGTGCATCTCTACGCATATCTTGTAAACATCTCACGTATATCATCTAAAATGGCGACATTATAATGTTAGTAACGCATTAATAAATAAAACGCACCAAAATAAACCACGAAACATCTCAATAGATAAGAGAAATAGCAACGAGAAACTAGTGAATTTTGAAAGACACGAAACGGCATGGAGGCTTCGTAACGCTGGCGTAATATACTCTCTTTTCGGAATGTGTCGATTTTAACGATAAAGAGATTTACATTGATCTCACCTTATCGTCCTTACTGATCTTTGCACAAGATTCGCACGGTTTCTCGAGCGGTAAAATTCGCACGAAGACCTTTACATTGCTATCGTGCGCCTCGTTAATTGGCTCATTGTCCAATATAGAGAAGTTCGTTTGATGCATTCTCTTACTTTCAACATTATCTCAATCTTGTATAATCGCGAGATGGAAAGGTTAATCCCATCTTTTGGTCCGTGCGCTTTATCTATAGCTCTGAAATTGTCTAGAGTTCAAATTTTATCGAACAGAATAAAATACAAGATAAAATTATAAGAATTGTGTCACGCAAAGTTATACGGTGACACAGTCAAACAAATATTTTAAGCAATAAGTTTCTAAGCAGTTAATTTACGTTATTTGCGATTACATAAACTGACAGTCAAGAGATGAGAAGATAATTTAGTTAACATGTAAAATGAAAAAATTTGGTATAAACTGTTTCTCCATCTGAAATAATCAACTCATTACAAATATGGTTTTGGACGCTTACGGTTTCGCATACAGAAATGAACTGGAAACAGCTTCGTGCGCGCGGGTGCGAATTTGTTATGCGAAAAAAAAATTTCTAGAAATTAAATACGTCGTTGTAAGTATGAATTTACAAAACCCTTTATTTCGTAGCGTATAAATCACCCATAATTAAAGTTTCACGAAAGGGCAACAGCAAACTTCGAAAAGATGTCGATCGAAAAAGAATCGAGTGCCCGACGACGCTAAGAAGTTATCAACGTCACTACAGCATACATAATACGATTATTATTATGCATATGACAATACATACACAATATTATAAAATAATTGCTTATGAAAAATACGTCGAACATCATCACTGCAAATTAAATAACGCGACTTAACTAAGAATACAGAAAATCAATTGAGTCACATAAAATTGGAGGGGGGTCGTATTGTACTGCTGATTTTCGAATAACGAAAGATTTGCGATTTAGTTTCTAGCGTGCATTTCACTTTACCTAAATGTACGAATACGGCATATCTAAATCACTAACACGCGCGTTTAATCTGTCACATTCAATTGATATTTACTTCTAAACTTGAAACTCAAAAGATTATGTCACAATTATATCGCGATATCGCTTGTGCATTTTTCTGATAAACTAGTCATTCTTAGATCGCTCGACCTTCGTCGTCGAAAAGTACAAAATCGTGAGCGCGAGCGTTCGCAGATCACGTTCAAGAATCAAATTCTTGTTGCTAAAAAAGGTATACCATATTCCGTATTCACAAAACGTTCTACATACAACTTCGAGTCTTCTCGAAAACACATGCAAGATAAAAAAATATCGTTTCTGCAACATATGGTCGTGTAGATACAGCCGGTCATCACGAAGCGTTCAGTATTCGTCGGGAAATGTATTCATCGGCTTCGAAAGATTCGACGACCAATAATCTAATCTTTTACACAAAAGACTAAATTGTATTTTATACATTTTCGTTTCCCAATATTATTAAAATCGATTCTTGCAAGCACTTCGAAAGATTCGACCGTTCGTTTGCTTCCTCGAGATCTCAGAGAAATGTATTCGATATTCACATAACGACAGGGCCGACAGCTTTGATCCTTTCATGACCGAGTTGCTTTTTGTTTCTAAGCTTCCTAGTGAAAAATGTTTTATCGGTAATAGAATGCGTACTGAATCCTTTTAGATTTTGTAAGTGGGACTTGTGTATATCCCACCTGTCCTAATGGTCATGAAAGAGTTGAATCGATGACGTAGACGACAAAACACATTTGCTTGCGTGTGAATTCGTATGTGAATTTATTACAAGGAAATTACAAAACCGCAGATTAAGACATCGTACAAAAGCGCCGCCTCAAAAAAAAAATTCTCGCCGTTCGCAAACAAGTCTGCTCGCTCTTGTGGTCCCTCCTTCCGGCTACCTGTAGTCGGCGTCGAGACGGTGGGCATCAGCATCGGTACTTCCTTCGTAGGAACTCTACTGTCATTACCCCTTAAATCACCACCGAGATGACGATCGTCACAATCGCCGCGCGATAATCAAAATGGAATAGTCGGGTTGACATCGCCTTATTATTTAATATAATATTAATTTAATATTATATTACTATTTAATAATAAATTTAATCGCATTCTGTTTCGAATTTACTGGACGCGACATACACTTCCTCCTCATTACCGTAACGAATCACAACGTTAAAACCCGCTCGTTCGCAATACAACAAGATTCCTATAACTCGTAATAAACAGGACGAGTTGTGCAGCGTTTTCGGGATTGTTTTTATCGATAAATCTCCTGGTCGTTTTCCATCGATAAATCCTGGTCTTTCCTCACCGACACACGCCCGTACAACAAATACTCTCTCTTTCTCTCCCTCTCTCTCTCACACACATTCTTTCTCTTTCTATCAGTTTCACCTCCTTTCTTTCCGTTCTAACAATAATTAGTTTCTGATAAATACTATTCAAGCTATGCCTAAAAACTATTGCAGATAGAAACGCATTAGAAACGGTATAAAATGGACATGTTTCGTTCATTTTCCAGTTCCTTTCAACAACTCTACGTTATATACGAATAAAATTCCTTTTGTCCGTTCTATCTTTCGCCCTTCTTTCTTAGCCTTCCCTCTTCCTAAGCATATGATGCGTATTATTTATATCTGGCATACGCAATTTCTGAGAAGTACATCGTACAGTAAAGAGTTGGGGGGGGGGAGTAAAAGTGCTAATATATAATACAAAGTGCTAATATTATAAATCGGGACAATCGAATTATGTGCTGCGTGTAACTGTTTTTTTTTTAGGCTCGATCGCCCACCGGCTTGTTCAGTCTTTCTTGCGTCTCTAGCCCTCCTCTCCGCGCAGATTCAACCGTGACAATCCTGATGCCGACACACCCGGAGTCGTGCCCTTCATTCAATGGCGACACGGGACATTATCAAGCCCCGCCTGGTGAGCAAAACGCTACAAAACAAAATAATTCACATTACCAGATAGACAGACATTACGAGACAAAGAGTAGAACGCACGTTGCAATTATATTGCAACAGCTCTACGTTATAGGGTGCCCAAATGCCGATTGCCAATTAAAATTAATGCGGTTTGATTAACACCGATAACGTGAAATGGTAGCGTAATAGTGAGACCGCACAATACGAGACGACATGAATAATAATTTAGAACTTCCTCGAAACAGCGCACGATCGAAATCGCTGATTTTAACGCTGCAGAAAGAAAAAAAATGAAATTAATATTTCAGATTGAACGTTATAAACACGGCCTTACCCTAGACCGGTTCCAATGAGCAGGGACAAAAGATTCGTGAAGAATAGAGTGTAAATGACCTCCTTGGAAAACAATCCGTTCTTGCCAACCTTCGCGGTGCGGATGCTGTACGTTTTCCTCTTGCTGCCCAACGGGTGTTTGAACTTCCAGTCTCTGCAATACGAGATCGGGATCAGTAAAAGTTTCATTGAATGTTATTCGATATGAAAGGAGAACTGTTTCTAAATTCAAATTAATCCATTGTAAAATGCAACGATACGTAGCGGCATGCAGACATTAGCCTACGCTCGATACATTTAGCTCTAATTGCGATTAGACGATCGGAAAAGAGGCATAGAGTTATGCTACGCTCGTATCTCGCTCCTACGATGCTAATCGCTCAACGTCAAATCGAAAGAGTCTGGTTCGTACTTTGGAGGCGCCTGGTCCGGTCGAGAGCTCCACTCGTAGATCCAATCCGTGTTCTTCTCCAGAAGCTCGCCCTCCTGCGAAGCAAAAGCACTTATTAAGAGAACGCTCGGGCAGATGTCTCGCGATTATCGTCCCACGTCGACGGAATAAGATAGAGCCAATCGTTCTGGATGTATCGGACGAGATGAAGATCGACGGGGATGGGTGGGAAAGCGAGGAGGAATTAATCACGCGGGTCACATTTATACTCTTTCTCTCTCTCTCTTTCTCTCCCTACATATCTATGAATGGCGATCGCGTAGCGTGCGAAAAAGTGAATGCTCAAGGATGACCTTTGGCGTTCCGCCAGCGTCGCACACACGTACCTAGCGCATGTCGCGGTATACCGGATCTCCGATATGCGCAGTATAACGCGAATTGTGCGCACAAGCGTGGCCGAACGCCCGGCTGTAAACAATGCTCGGGAAGGTGCGAAGGGGGAAGAAGGGGGTGGAGGGCTCGGAGTTAAACCTCTGGTGGAGGGACTTGAACACTTTTCACGCCGTTTCCGTTCGGGACGGGAGAGACTTTCGGGCCGGTCTCGAAACTGGGTCATCGATTTAGTACGCAATATAACAGAACAAGAACGCGCAAAGATAACCCGTGAGTCACTCGACTCGTAGACACGCGGGAGTTGGTGTCCGTTTAAAACCGGTGCCACCAGCGGCGCCGAGCGCGTTGCACGTCCGTTGCGATCGGTCGGAGCCGCGCGCGCTGCTCCGTCTTTACTCCCGTTCCGCGCGTACTGCTCGATACGTGCTTAATCGAGTAATTGCGGCATAATTATCCGCGTATCGTGAGGGAAAAACTGCCGCTAACGGGGAACCGGGCGCGACAAGGCTCGGCGTTTCTTAAATTAAATCCGGCGCGCACAAAGTCGCGCTTTGTATTATTATCTGCGCGCGTCCGCCGGAGCGAAACGACGGAGCGAGCTGAGAAACTCCGGGCGCGGTGCAGCGATATACAGCTCGTTATATACAAGACAACGTCCGGCTACTACCAGCCCGGCAGATAAGCCCAATCTTCTTAACAGCGGTAACCACGCGGCCGCCTCTATATTTAGACGGACTTAGCAATTTGCATTTCGCTCGGGGCTCTCGCCGATGCGACTCGCGCAAAAAGAATACTCCGCGATCGACAAATCGTCAACTCGCGATCTCGTCAATTAAATATCAACGGGCATTACTTTAAGCGCGGTCGGAAAATCGATCGGAGCCTCGCTCTTTCTTTCCGCTTCACGAGCACAGTCTTAATTAAGCCAACGGCCACACGATACTATTTTTCCTACTGGATTGCTTACGAGAGTCAATCAGGATTTAGCCTCAAATGACCTGATCTAAAACTCTGCAACCTTATTGGTTCTCATAAGCAATCCAGTAGGAAAAATAGTATCGTGTGCCGTTGGCTTTATTCATTAATGCCTGGACCTCACAATTTACCATAGTGTAACCAGTAGGTCCACTCTCTGCCGGCCCCTTTGATCTTTGCGGTCCCGATCACGTGATATTCCGCCATACACCCGGACAGGATCCAGCGACGCGTGTGTGTGTGTATAAGCACTCGTCAAAGCCACACCACTACACATACTTTTCTCTCGCAGTCTCTGCTCTCTCTGCCCGGAGCAATGCCGGATGCGCAAAAGGGATCGACGCAAAACGAAACATAATGGCGGCGTGGACCTACCAGTGGGCCATTATTAGCGTTTTCGACTGGACCAGAATTAATCGCTCCGGGAGCGATTAATGACGTCACAAGTTTTGTTTTAGGTTACTAGACAAATAACCCAAATGCAACCCATGTTCGACCCATACCATTGTGAATTGATCCATCAGTGCTAAGAAGCTACATTAGGTTACAATCAGGTTATACGTGCGTGTTTATTGTGGAACAAAGCATTCCTTGACGATAATAACGCGTAAGTTTACCAATAAACATTTCGATTTTATCATAAAATTGAAAAGAACATTGTAACTAGAACCTAACCCAGGTTCATAACCCATTTTCGGTCGAACATATGTTCCTAGTATCTTCGGGTTAATCGCTCCGGGAGCGCTAAAACCCATGTCAGTTCCAGGCAGTCGGAAACGCTATATGTTTCGTTTTGCGTAAATCATTCCGAGAACTTTTCAAACGGCCCGCGTATCTCTGCTATGTTCCGGCCGGATATACCACGTGCAGTCCGTGCCGCGCGCTGTTTCGAAGTCACTTCCGAGATGCTAGATTTATTGGTAATATACGCGAGTGTGTGTACCATTGTTCGTCGCGCCGGTGTCAGAAAGGTGATGTTTACAAACGCAGGAAGCACTTTGTCATTGCTAAGATAAGGCTCGATCCACCGATGATTCACGCGGGCAATCAATCAACGCAAAGATTGCGCGTGGAATAGCGCGTATATCGTGCACGACGCGACTCCGTAATTTTCGCCGGAATCGTTACGCCCGTCCGACTATCGCGGGACGACGATCGGCTAATCGGAAACAGCGGCGAACGATCGAAGGGCAGACCGCTCTCTCGGATCGCGGGAGGGAAACGTCGTCGCCTATAAATTCATCGAAGTGCCACAGCGTTGTATGTCGGGAGAGATCGATAACCCGCGCAGATAAACCAATAATCCGAGCACTCGCCACCGCGCGAGACCCCGGCGCGGTCACGTTTATTTCGAAAAATTGCACATCTGTTCGTTTCATTTGCGACACTGAACCGCCTCATTGTCTGCTCAAGAATCCAGAGATCGAATTTTATTTATACAGGTTGTCCCATTTCAACTTGGACAGTAAAATATCTCAAGAACTAAGTCCAGCAAACAAAAATGTTTCAGACAAAAGTTGTACGGTTTCGAGGAGGACATAAGATGGTGTCATTATATTGACCTTTCATCCTGGGACACCCTGTATGTATATACATATGTATAGATTCTATTATTTATACACACATATATATATACTACAATATTTGTACGTTTCCTATCAACTCCTGAACTCCCTTTGATTGAGCCAAATTTCACAATAGCTAGGACCTTAACAGAATGGCTGATTTGTAATTTCAAGACAGTGTTCATTAAATTCATATTCATCCAATATTAGTACAGGAAAGTGTCCTATTAAGGCCTGTGTCCACGATACTGGAACCTGATGCAAGTTCTAGTTCCGAGAAATGTGTAGCCAATCAACTTGCAGCTTTTATGGAATAGCTGCAAGTTGATTGGCCACACATTTCTCGGAACTACAAAAGGACTTGAACCAAGTTCTAGCATCGTGGACACGGGCCTTTATGAGATATGTTTCTGATATGAGATAGCGGGATTTCTGCTAAATTAATAGACAACATTTATTGGTTAGTGGAAATTGCATCGTTAGATCGTGTAATCGTCGCGAAGAAAGAGTTGCGGTTGAATTTGTATGTTGAAAACCTGCTATCTTATATCAGAAGCCTATCTCATAATAGAGGACTTTTCTCTAGTTGTACAGTAATGGCCAGAATGATTGCGACACGGTTTCTTTAAGAACGTGTATTTAGATTCAGGGTTACGTTCCAAAATTTTGTTCTTCGAGGACTACTTTACTCGGTGGACACTCCGAAACCCTTTTGAGCGTTTCCGATCTATTTCTCGAGTAAAATGTTCCTCGTAGAAAATATTTTGGAACATAAACCTGAATCTAAATTCGCGTTCCTGAACGCACTGAAAAACAAGTGTCGCAACCATTCTGTCCCTCACTGTACAGTAAAACTGTCGCTTCCGTGTATTTACATAAATATATGTTTATTCCTTTGCAAACGTTATCTTCGTATACTTAAGACTCGAGATACAAGACAGTTATTGTGAATTACTTAAGACAAAGACTTGAAACATAAAACTTTATCTTAAGAGTACAAGATAGCCATTCTGCTAAGGCCATGACTCTCCGGGACTCTGCGGAAAGTGTAGGCTACTGCGACACTTGGACACCTCAGCCCCTTCTCCTGTTTTCATAGGTTACCCTAACCTATAACTTATTCGAGTGAATAGACTTCTTGTTAAGCTCCTAAACTTAATTTCAATGATACCATCTGTTCTTTCACTTAATCTGAATAGTGGAACACTGTCGGTTCGTACACAAAAGCCACATAATTTGTATACTGCACAAATGTTTTCACGAATTGACAGTTCTAGGAGCAAAAAAGGTGCCAAAAGTGCAGAATCACTCCAGCATCCCGTATCCTTAATTCATTGTTAGGTCGTGTAATCGTTGCGAAAAAAAATAGTGATTTGTGATCTGATTTGGGCATTGAAAACCTGCTATCTCACGCTAAAAGCCTATAATCTCATAATAGGACCTTTTCTCGTATATGCCGCGTGAGTTTAATTTCCAAGTCGCTTTAGCGTGACTTTTGTAAATGGACACGCAGAAAAAGAAACGGCCGCTGCTTTCGCGCGGCCTACGGTCACGTCGCGTACCCAACTGCACGCGACTGCAACGCGAAAAACGGTCGATGTATGCATATTCGCGTGCGGAGGCTTTTCACGTTTCGCCGGTTCCTTTAATCCGCGCGCGTATCACGCTTCTCGATCACGAGAAACGTCACGGCGCGCCGACCGTCGGTCGATCGCGAAAAGCCCGCACGCGTCGCCGTTATAAATAACTTTTACGGCTACGCGTTTTCCTTTCCATCGTCATCCCCGGGGTCCCTCGGGTCGCGCGTGTCCACTACGCGCCGTCGAGTCGACGACAATGGAAGTGCCATGCGCGAAAGAAAATTGAGATCGTGGCCAACGCGACGTAAGACATTTCGCGCCCCCGATTTTAGTAATTTAATTACTAACGAAATTCGACAGCCTTGAATCCGAGACTAATCTACCGCTGTGTGAAATGTGTTAATATTTTTATTTATTAATATTATTACATTATGCGCAGTTGCTCCTCGACAAACATCGCAAATTACATCGCTCTACGTGCGTTTCTTTCTTCCGACACGGAACTTTTTCTTATGTTAGAATCTGTCCTGAAACTCACGTGACCGTGGAACAAAACATGGCATTTCAAAAAATTTTATGAGA